CTATGTGAGCGTTTTACAGCAAGGGCACAGTGTAACACAATGAACATTACATCTTTGTCATTTACCAACATGAAACTAAAACTTAATGTTAAATATGAATGAAATGATTCACTGTGTTATTGTGTATTGTGTCCTTGCTAGAAAATGTCCAGTAACATCCCTAACAGCACATGATATCCTGCACATTATTCCACTTTCATATCAATTATACTGTGATCATCTCTAATAAACTGAGATTAACGCAATAATATGTCGTGTGATATTCCGTTTTTTTTCGCGCGCATATAATCTCAAATTTTACTCAATATGAAATACCGTATATCTTAGGTTTAACGTTAGGTATGGAAACAGTATCCAAATAGCAAAATGCTACTAGTAGTATGCCAGCAATACGCCAGCAAACTTGATCATGACATTACAGCAGATGTCAAACTGCTGCTTCCGCATTAAACTTAGTTTCTAACAATATAATCTGCCACCATAGAACGACGGTAGAAATGTTAATAAAAATCGAGTATTTTTTGGTATAAATACCGTGACAGCAAATATATAACAAATATCGGACAAAGTTTGCCATATCAAATACTAATAGCAGAAATTAAAAATCTTATATTATGACAATTTGAGGGAGTGACAAATTTTTGAGAACAGAAAATATTTACATTTGAGATAAACTTTTAATTTGTTAATCTAACATTTTTGCATATTTTATCAAAAACGATATTTTAAATATACAATTAAAAATTTATTTACTAAGTTATTTATTAAGAATTATTAAATGTTTTCACCAAACCTGTTTCTACTGTGGAGGTATAAACCTTTTTTTTTATCTATTTTTCTTTTCAAATTCATAAATTAATGAAGCCACCTGGGGGCGACTAGATATTTAGGCGTGGGAAAATGCATCACTGAACTCGGATCAAACAATGACAGCAAAACACAGCAAAAACCGAGGATGGCCTGCTGTCACGACGTGACTGTAAAAACGTGGTAAATATAAAACACAATCTGCGTTATCAGCTACTGAGGGCAAGAATGTAACAGAAATAATATAATATATAATAAATAAATAAATTTTAAATAAAAGCGAATAATTCAAATTGGGCTCTTGAAATATTAAAACAAATAAAAAATAGAATAAAAAAATTGGTGCGATTATCATATATATATTTCGATTGTATCTATTACATAATATATAAAATTGAATGTTTCGGTTATATTCAAGCCATCCTCAGCAGTCTCCAGTCATAGCAATAATTGATAACAATCCAATGTTCATAATGTCAAAGAAATCGAGTGCAGCAAGCAAGTTTCACAGATTACCATATCTAGAGTGTATGTAACTGTCAGTTAACTGATTAACTAAGTGTGAGCTGAATTAGAAATAATATCATTATTATCATTAAATAGATTATCATTAAATACATTAAAAAGACAGTTACTAAAAAGAAAGCATAACAAAAACTTATGGAAACTTATCTACTGCACACCATAACTGCACAATAATATAAATTAAATAAATTAAAATTGACAAAATCAAGTTAAATTTCTTGTAAGTACGTAATGTTCGTAGTGTCAAAATTAGAGTCAACTTATATAAAAAAATATTAAGAAATAAATATTATAAGAAAGGAAACATTGCCAGAAATCATTGAATTGAAAAACATAGATAGCCGCTTAAGTATAGTTACACCAATCAAAAGAATTAAAATTTATTAATTATGTTATTTTATTAATTATGTTCGTATAAGCAAGTACTCCGTGTTTCATTTCAAATTTAATTAAATGCATTGTTTTGCATTTTGATATTAAGCATTTCAGACACTAACTTTTTATCAATATATTTCATTATCTAAAATTTTTGTATTCATCTAATCAAAATCATGTTCAAATTGTAATCTATATTTAAAAACAGACAAGTTAACGCTCCTTTTATTAATGTCATTTTTATGTTCGTTAATTCTAGTCTTTAATTTACGACTTGTCTGTCTCACATAAGAAGCATTGTAATTTTTACAATTAATCTTGTAAATCACATTCTTCTTCGACTCGTGAGAAAGAACGTCTTTTTGTGTTTTAATAATTCCGTCAAATTTATTCAAACTGAAAAAAGACAATTTGACATTAAGATTTTTGATGATGCTCTTAAATTTATCATAAATACAAGGCAAAAATGGGATGGTAAACCACCGAAGTTGTTTTATTGTCAATGTTAGGTTTATCTGTTTGTTTAAGCGTCTTACGTTTTAAAAGAGACCTTAATCGTAAATTGATCGTGTCAGAAATAAAATTAATAGTCGTTGTCCAAAAATATCTTAATTATGATAAAGATTAAATTCCAATTTTCCGTTCGCATTAATTATCGTTACGTCCAAAAAATTCAATTAGTCACCACCAATCTCCAAAGTGAACTGCACTTAAATGAAAAGAGTTAAATACCTCTAAAAATTCTTCAATTAAGTAATTAGAAATAGCAGTCACAATGTCGTACATATCTAAAATAAAAAGATAGCGCAGTTCCAAATCTCTCCAAAGCTTTGTTCTCTAAATCTTTCATAACCAAATCTACAATAATGGGAGACAATGGAGAACCTATGGGTGTTCCAAATTTTTGAATGTAAATTCTGTTATCAAAAATAAAAAAAGATAAATATATAGGATTTTTTCTTAAGATTATCTTATCTTTTTGGGTAGTTTAAAGATAGTTTAGATATTGTGTTTGTTTAATATCCTGCCAATCCGATCTGTTTCTTTAACATACGGGAAAATGGATCGGATCTTTTCGTCTGGTTATGTGTCAGAGACCGTTGTCTTGTTTGCATGTTTATTGATTATTTGGATTATGTCGTGTCCGTTTTTCTGTAAAGCTAGTTTTAAGTGGTTGTCTGTAGATGTTTTTTGTCAGAGATGGTGAAACCTCTATGTACAAGTGAGTTGATTGTAGACTGTTTTTGTGCTGGGTGACAGTGCGACTCGACATGTAGGTATCTATGGTTTTCTGTACACTTGATGGTACTGTCAGCTTTCTTAGAGACAAGAACATCTAGGAAGGGGAGTTTTCCGTTTTTCTCTAAGACTATAGTGAAGTGGATATTTGGATGTTGATTGTTGAGGAAAATAAGAAATTTACAGAGTTCGGCTATGTCTCCATATCACGAATGTGTCGTCTACATAACGGAACCAAACTTCTAGTTTTTGGTTGTTTTTCTGAGGGCTTCTTTCTCAAAAATATTCCATGAAGATGTTGGTGATTACAGGAAAAATAGGAGAGCCCATTACCGTTCCTGTTTTTCATTTTGTATCCTGTATTTATATTTTCACTCTGTATTCTTGTTTTTATATAGCTCATTATTATGACTTTTTATGTCATTTTTATTTTTTACAAATTGACTCAAGTTTTTTATAGATTTTAATTTTAGTGTTATACATTTTATAATCATTAGGTTTTAGACAATTGTAAGCTATAATCTGCATTGCGTCATCCTTATACAATTTTTTTACAACTAGGACTTACTATTATCATATTGTTATATCCGCGCTGCTTCGATTCTCTACGCGCTGAATCGTGTCACGAGCGAGAAGGATTGACAAGCGGTTGCGAAGGAGACGCTGTTAGAATTGGATCGGATTTTGAACTGTCAACGCGCCCGTTCAAGCTCCCTTCCTTCAGAAACAATATTCGCTGTAACTTACGAGCCGTTGCCTTTGTGCGAGAGTTAATAAAGTGCCTTTTTTATAATTTATGTATTATTATTTCCGCGATTCGAGCGTGCACGTTTACTCGAGCTGGCGATTCGGTTGTGCATAGCGGATAACGACAAGCGTAACATTTGAGGGGCTCGTCAGACTCGGAGAATCCAGACGACAGGAATGCTTCGTTCGTCTAGCGTGACAAGAAAAAGAGCTCAAATAATGGACTCCAAAAGGACGATGAGAATGTTAGTAGAGTTGGAAGGCCTAGAAAGAATGTCGGAAACGACAGCCCTCTGAGCCGCACGACAAGAGTCGGAGCAGATGCCGGAAACGACAGCCTTACAGGCCGCGCTATTGGAGATACGGCCGCTGCGTAAGGGCAGCGATCACGAGAGGCGAAGCTGTTAGCGATATTAAGAAATCGAATCGAGGCTGCAGTGCATCAAATATCGCCAGATCAATTTTGGTTGCAACACGAGCTGTCCGTACTAGATGCAATGCTTGTATTGTTGCAAGAGGCCAACATTTTGAATAATATTTACATTAATCAAGTTAATAAAGCATACAGCGTAAATAAGTAATGGAAAAGTACAACAATGAAAACTACGGTTTGTCTTTTTTGCGATTTTTTTCCAAAATGAAGCAAAAACGAGCATATCTCTACAGGACTTTTTTTCTTAGTTATCGATTCTCTACATATTCCCGAAGTTTAGACATTTCGGGACACTAATATTTCAATCCGCAATGTTGAAAATAGTCTCTGCGTTCGAACAGAGGATGAGCATATCCCTATTTCCTAGTTAAGAAATGTAACATGTTGAGAATTGTAATATGACGTGTTGCGCTTTGAATTATTATATTATCTGCGAAGGCGGAGGATAAGTAAAAAAAAGGAGAAACTACATAAAATCAATACAACTATAATATTGTTATTCATTACTGTACCTTGTAGTTAATTATTTGATTAAACAATGGTTGCGTTCAGCAGAAAAAGCAGTTTTGCAACTGTTGTAAAATTCTTGAATATGATTTTATACATTTAGATCCAATAAGTAACTAAGGGCGAGATCAATCATATTAAAGAATTTTACAAGAGTTGCAATGCTGCTTTTTCTATTGAACGTAGCCAATGAAGAGATTTCACGGCATTTTTTGGGAAGTCATTTTTTTCTTCACACATACAAGCGCGTATAATGATTTATATAACAGTTTTTTTTTTAGAGGAGCACGTACCTTAGTGCTTTTTTATTTTTTTTTTAAAGTTTTTATTTTTACGTAAAAATGAATATTTAGTGCAAAAATGAAAATAATCTTCAACGACCTTGATCTTAATAAATATTATCCAGGACATGATTCTGAACAACATTCAGGAGATTTTAGCCGTTGATTGGACACATTAGATACTGCTAATGTCGACTGCAACTTCCAAGCTTTATAACTTGAAAAGTATTTAATGAAAAATAACTTTATTATAGAAAAGCTCTTGATACCAGCTATTAGACTGCGACATAAAAAATAGGATGTTCAATTTAAAAAAAAATCGGTTTGACCTTGACCTAACCTTCGCGAGATCACTCAAAGTCAAACGGATGTGATCAGTGAATAGACCTTTTTAGATTATACAACTTTTGTTGGAAATATTATTCTCAAAAAATGCTTCGCTTTCGAGATATTCGACCGTTTCCAGACTTTTGATATATAATACTTTGTACTCGTATATTACACGATTCTTAACTCTCACTTTTTTCCTTACATAAAAACATTGTCTGTGCGAAGTGGATGCGCAGAATAAAATCCTCACATGCAGGAAAGAGATGTCAACAGATCAGGTGAGCCAGTGTCTCTGTCATAGGTTCAAAAATATATATAATACATGCGCAAATTAGCGCAGATCTTATTCTGTACATGTAGTACATGTATTTTAGCAATAAATAGGTTTTTCATTATCTGATTAACTTGTGGTTAGACCCTAATGTGTTATGGACTTCATCTATGATGATGTCATGAATGAAGCCCATCGAGTTATCAAGTTAAAATATCAAGTTAAGTTTAATCACAAACTAACTAGATAATGAAAAATCGAGTCTTAATGGGACCAGTATGTTTATCATATACAGGTGTCCCAGAATATTTGAAACTATTTTCATATGCAGACACAGCAGACTAAACTGACAATAAGTCGAAAAATTCTCTAACTTTTCAATGTTTGTAGTAGTTAAAGAGTTATTAATTATAATATTATTAAAAATCGCCGTATTATCTATCGCATGCGAATATAAGCGCATGCTGGAAAAAAACAAGGTGAGCTATTTCCGTGAATGGAAAATTATTATTGGATTATAAATATATAGACGATATAACTAGGGCGGTACCTACCACTTTAATTAATTCGGTTCTCGACATTTTTAACTCTCAGCATCCGAGGATTCAGTTTACCATGGAGGTCGGTGACAATAGGTTAAACTTTTTGGATGTTAATTATTAATAATAGTAAAATCAAATTTGATTGGTACCATAAATTAACGTTTTCGGGGAGGTATTTGAATTTCTTGTCTCATCACCCGATTTCTTAAAAGAGGGGCACGATTACTGATTTGGTAGATAGAATAATTTTACTTTCGAATCCTAAATTTCATCTTGATAATTTTTGTTTTGTAATTAAAATCTTGTTGGAAAATGATTATCCGTTAGAATTCAGTTTTGTATTAATAAACGATTGAAAAACATTATTAATTTTAAGAGAAAAAAATAGGATAATGATAATATCGAAAGCGCAGGGCCTTCATGATTTACTGTTTCGTTCCGATGTTTTCCGAGAAATTCATTAGATTAAACAGCGAAAATATTAGAATCATTTTATAGTGTTAATAAGTTGCATGAATTCATCAAAATACATAAGGATCCCCTTTCGTATGAAAAGAAATTCAATGTAATGTACAAGATCTGTTGCAAAGATTACGATGCGAGTTACGTGGGACAAACAGGAAAATAGCTGAAGACGAGAACAGCTGAGCACAGGAATCATATTTGGTGGAACATAATCACGTATTCGATCATAAGTGACTACCGATTGGAAGAAGACCACGAGTTCGATTGGGAAAATATTGCAGTTTTGGATGAGGAACCCCAAAACAGAAAGATTGGTGTCAGAGATGCTACACATCAGGAGACAGACACGTAGCCTCAATCTGCAGACAGACTTGGAAGGGCTTTCCTAAGGCGTATTCTCCAATTGTAGACGGACTATAAATATCGGAGCGTTGTTATTACCAGCTAATCAGTGTACATTCTTTGTTACATTAAGATTAAATTATTAAAGATTCAATTTTGATTTTAATATCCGTCTGAACTATAATTAATATCAGAGTTTTTTCCCTTCTTTTTTCCTTTTCTTTGCGATTAACGTTTTAGATATATTAAAAAGTTATTCATTAATTTCAACATAATTGATACTGATTCGCTGAATGTCAAAGACTGATTTTTGACTAAACCGATAGAATTTAAGTGTTTGTGATATGGTGAATTTTTGTTTTAGTGAGCTACCTTCTATTATTTTATAATAAATCGCTTTTGTTTCCAACAAATTTACCTTTAATTTTAATACATTTTATTGTTATCAGAGTTCGTTTTTATATTATAGTTTCCGTTAATAGATGGCTCACTGAAATGAATTAGTTTGTAAAAAAATTTTTTGTAATTACATCATATTGTCTTTGAAGATGATTCAAAAGTGAGCCGAAACATGTAAGCGGATTAATTATTAATAAAGTTGTTTTGTTAACCGTATTGGTTTGCACAAAAATTACCGTGATTCCTATTGCTCTGTTATATTCAACCATTTTGTATCGGGTATTTCAGACTACCTATACTACTTTTTCATCTTTGCAGAATAAGTCCAATTGAAAAAATCTTCAGACAAAAGTTGTAGGATTTAAGAAGATTTATTTATCTTATCTTATATAGTATGTCACTAAAGTCACGTCGATTTTTTAAAATGGAAATTCTCATTTTTTATTGCATATTCTTGTAGCTTATCTCGAGAGCTTTTCAAAACAATAATAACAAAATATTTTTTTATTAAATACTTTTTGAGTACCTCCGGCATTTAGCATCATTTAAAATACCTAACTGATGGTCAAATCTTTTAAATGTTACTCGGGGTCATGACGTTGATAACATTTGTCAAAATGAAGACTTTAGAGGTTAATGTTCCTCTTATTTTTATTTTTAGTGTAAAACCGAGGTAATGTTAATGTCGAAGGTATTATAACCTTCAAGCCTTATAACTTGAAAAGTAATTTAATGTTGAATACATTAATGCTTGATAATGAACAACATTTTGTTATAGTATTTTGAAAAGCTCCTGAGATAAACTACAAAGATATATAATAAAAAATGGAGATTTTCGTTTAAAAAAATCGACGTGACCTTGACCTAATCTTGACGACGCTATCTACGGTTAAGTTGATAAGATCAGTAAATAGATTTTTTTAAACTCTACAACTTTTTTCTGAACACTTTTTCGACTGGACCTTATCCTGCGAAGATAAAAGGGTGATATGAGTGATCTGGAACACGTATTTATACACACCAAACAATAATAAATTTTTCACATCAATTGTATGTTTACACGAATTTTTGTCTTTCACATTAATTATATCATTTATAACGTATTACACACTTGATCGATTACGAACGAATTTATCAGTTCGTTATTATTAATCACTACCGATTAATTATTTAGAGACTGAGAATTAAAAGTAAGAAAGAAATTGCATACAGCAATTAATAATCAGAAGTTTTCGTCCTTTTATAAATTGTATCGCGTATCAATACATTCACGGATTTATTCACGCACTTGACTGATTTTTACAAACAAATCTATTGGCTCACTATTATTAATCACTGCCAATTAATCATTCGACAACTGAAAATTACTATTAAGAAGGAAACATTGCACTCGGTAATCACAAAATCAAATTATATCGCAAAATAATACGGCCACTAACTTATACAAGCACTTGAACGACAAAATGAAGAATTTATTAACTTTACTACGGTTAATCAAATACAGGGTGGGCCATCTATTGGTACGTTTTTAAAAATGCGATCAAATGAGCATACATTGATATTTTTTATTAATTTTTTTTTTGTTGTGAAGCTAAAAGTATCCGCGTCAAGAATGAAAAACGATTTCGTTCATGTGGCTCCCTCTACTGGCCTTACAGTATGCCATTCGGTCACCCCAATTATTAATGACATTTTGGACTACCTCGGCGTCGAGTTGAAGTCGTCGGATTCTGTCTCACACTTTGGGCCACAGCCTCAATATTCTCGGGTGTGCGCACTGTCCGAGCTCTGGGACCACTTCTGTCATCCACTAACATCCCTTTCTCACGAACTTTCCTCACCAATTTGCGTATAGCTCCTTCGGTGGGTGCTCACGACCCATATTTCTTTTCAAAATTCGTACAGTTTCGGCGACACAGCACTGACTTTGAAAATAAGTTTTTAAAATTTCAAAACGCTCTTCAAGAGAAAACATGTTGTTTCGTGCCGCGGACGGTATGACTAATAAACTGTCAAAATTTCGGGTCTGTAGCTCGTTCGGTGTTGCCATACGACGAAATTCAAAAACGTACCAATAGATGGCCCACCCTATATTACCGATTAATTATTCGATTGTGATACAATTGATGTAAAAACAAAAACTTATTATTATTTGGTGGATTTATGAGAATCTCGGAATTCACGGTCACGAAATTATTCTGCCTTTTTCCGACTCGCCTGCGATATGAAAACGTCTTTACTAGAAGAGAGAGAAAGAAAGAAAGAAAGAGAGAGATGGGGAGGAGGAGGGAGATGAAATACGTATACGTGCACATATCATCGTGTCACACGTAACAAACAGCTGATCGGAACTGAGCGCCCGCATCAGACGTACGCGATCTATAATTCATTCACTATTTTGGTTTATAATTCAAAAACTAAGCTACGCATAGAATTTTGACAAAGGAAAAATTGTCTTAGAATTATGTCAGGAATATGTCATTTTAAGGACAAAAGTTTATTATGGGACATCCTCTGTGTGCGCGCGCGCGTGTATACAGGGTAGTCCACTTAAATCAACTATCTGAAATATCTCGCTTTTTTTGATGATAAAAAAAATGTTTCAAATAAAAGTGAAACGGTTTCAAGGAGAACATATTTTGGTCATTTTTTTTTCTATATGGAAATGTCAAAAAGATATGAAGGTCATCTCCATTTTTTTAAATGGAATTATGTAATTTTTTTTAAATAATATGATTCTTCTAATTATTCTGCATATAAAAGTATTGAGATAGAGATATCAAAAAATCAATAGTTTACGAGATATTTAATACTTTATTATGGCACATATTGACATAAAATGTTAAATAACTCGTAAATTACAATATTAATATTTTGATAATCATTTCGACAACCGATTTCGATAACCTTATTACTTTTATGAACAGGATAAGGAGATGAATTGGTGGAAAAAACACATAGTTGCTTATTTAAAAAATTATCCATTTTACATACATATATTTTTTAAAGCAATTATGTGTTTTCTTTTCATCAATTGATTCATCTCATTATTGTATATAAGAATTAAGATACGATTATCAAAAAGTTAATAGTTTTTAATATTTTATATCAGTGTACACACCACACACACACACCACACGCGCGCGCGCGGTCTGTCTAAAAAGCTTCGAGACTGATTTTTTTCATATAAATAATACCCTTTTTCCGACTACGGAATCTTTTAATACCAATATTAAACTTTGTACCGAATTTTTTTATGACGCTAGAAGTAGTATGTCCAAAAACTTATTAGCCGTGTAAGTTTCGTTATATTTTACTCTTGTAAAAATTTTTGTAAAGGGATAGCGGACTGTTGTCAAATTTTGTCTTAAATTTCAAATCTAGTATTGACCAATCTTAGGTTCGTATTTTGAAACAGATTTTGTTTCAAAATTCATACTTAATTAATCTTAAATGAAGCAAAACCGACCAAAGAAAAGGCGACAAAATCCAAAATCAAGACAAAGTTGGTTATTTTCTTTCGAAGTTGGTCGTAAATGGCTTTGACTTCCGAAATAAAAAGTTCAAATAAAATTTCGCTGAAACTTCAATGAAATTTGAGTGAAATTATTCTTTGTTCTGAAACATTTTTTTAGTAGAATTTCAGAAAAATAAAATTAACGTAGGAGTTGACGAGTATCACGAGCGATCATAGTGTACAAAAATTATCTTTGATTATCTTTAAATTACCTCGGATTACTTAAGATTACTTAATAGTACCTCAAATTATTCCAGATTATCAAATATTATTTCATATATATTATCCAAGATTACTTTAGAGTATTTAAAATTACATCATTTTTTGAGATTACCCGAGATTTTGCTAAATTTACTTTGCTCATCTAAAATTATCTTATACGAATACATACAGTATTATTTCTTCAGATTACTCCAGAATATCTTTATAAACCACTATGATAAATATCTTTGAGAATATCGATTTTAGATTTTCACTATTTAAGAAAAAAAAACGCAATTTTATGATACAAATATTCATTGTATACAGGAACACAGAAATAAAAAAATTTCGCAAACAGAATATGTATAGATAGTAACAAATCCGACTAATCGTAATATTTGAGATTTTTTAATACTAACAAAGCAATATCCAATTGAATATAAATATTAATAAATATTTTATAAAATATTTAAAAAAAAAACAACAGTAACAGGGACTCTTTGTTAAACGATATTACAATTTAGTGTTAAATTAAAAATTTTGTTAAGATTTATTTGATCGAACTGTTAAAACAGTGCTCGACACTAAATGCACATTTTGGGCTGATTTTTGTAGGCGACACCTGGCGACATCTACTGTCCCCTTATTACCGCTCTAGCGGCCTTCCCACGTAACGCTCTGGCTCAGGAGCGTCGGAAATTACAGAGTGTCTCAGAATGATCACCAAATATTTCATGTGCTAATAGAACTAAGTCAAAAAGTTCTCTATCATTTTACAATTTTCGCAATGGTTAACAAGATATTAATGACTAAAAATCGCCGAATATTGGTTCTCAATAATTTTTTAGTTAAATACTATCAACTTTACAGAGAAATTTTTCTGAGAATTTTTTCAGAATTTTTATCAACTTTTTAGTAAGTATACTCGGCAGCAGAAAGGTTGCAACAATTTTTTTTATGGGTTTGGAATGTGGCTTGCTCGCGTGATTACTTATAAGTCTATCCATATTACATTCAATTCCCAGCAAACCAGAATA